CAGAGTCCTGGAAAAATATGCAGAGAGATGCAAGTACAGACAAAGCTGTCTAAGCTCCCACAGTATTATGGTCTGGCTGTGTCGCTTCAAAGCTGTGTTAGGCAGAGCTGGTTTGCTTCAGGGTTGAACAGATCAACGTTATGGTTTAAATGCTGGTATTGCTAACAGCCAAATATATATTTAAACATAAATCTCCAATCCCAGGAAAGTTAATAGCCCGATGCTGTTTAAATATGCCTTTTTTAGTCGCTTCACATGCTGACTTAACTCATTACGATGCAAGCTGCAGAAACGTTTTCACTACAGTTCAAAAACCCCTGCAAACACGAGCCCAGCTCTGCGCCGTACTTTGATCTACACGTCGCCTCTTTCGGCCATTTCCAGGAAGCTGAAATGCTTTTCACCTCTATTGAGAGATACCAGAGGAGCATTTTAATGGTGTTCAGCTAAGAACAACGTCACCGTTCCTTCCGATTTTGCCAGCAGACGGTCGCTGGGAGCCGCCGTGACCCGGGCCGGGTGCTCAGGGCTGGCTCCAGCGCGGGCCCGGCGCTCCCGGCCGGGCAGGGACCGAGCGGCGGCTCGGACGGCCCCGATTCTGAGCGCCGCAGCCCCCGACAGGGCTCGCACCGCTACAACGCCAGCCTGGCACTGCGGAAGAGCTTTGGTTTTGTTGTTGGTTTGTTTGGTTTTCTCCCCCTCCATGGGAACGTGTTCTGTTTTGTGCGGACGGTTTGTCGCTTGTTCTCGACATAGAGGCTGACCCGGTGAGGAGCGAGGGGGGGAGCGAGGAATGGAGCGATGAGCGCAGTTGTTGCGAAAGGCGCGGGTTGCGGTGCCTCCTTCGCGGCAGCACCCTGCTCCCTCGCAGGGAAACAGCCCTGAGCCTCGGCACATACCACAGCACAGGTTGTACAAACCCACGGAGCGGCTGGTGCTGAGCCGCAGGAGCTGCGGGCAGGGCGCACCCTGCCCGGCACATGCCGCTCCCGCAGACAGCCTCTGCCAAGCAGCCACTTACCTTCTCCCTCCCTCAGAGTCCGCAGGACGGTCCTGCTCTAGCCTTACCAGGGAGGCCACCTCTCTACAGTGTTTGCTTTTCCTCCCTGTCCTGCCCTCTGAAGTGGTTGCTCAAGCCAGGCTTTCCTGGCTCACCTACTCTGGGTCTGCAGTAAGCACAAGGTGCAATTCCCCGCAGAGCACAGCGAGGCTTGTGAAGTTCCGAGATAACCCTCAGCCTCCACTCAATGCGAACTGCAGCAGAATCTGCTCGGGGAAAAAAAAAAATTCCACCAAAAAAAAACAAATCAGAAGGAGAAAGAAAAAAAAAAAAAAGAAAAAAAAAAAGACGCCACATGTAACACCTCATCGAGCCATGGCGGCTCCACTGCAGCGCGGCACCGGCTCCGCGCCAGCCCTGCCCGAGCGGGCCCGGGGAGCTCGGCGCTGCAGGCCGGAGGAGGCAGGGCAGCGCTGCCCCGGCTGGGTGATGGCGGAGGGGGGAACAGCCCAGGAGAGGCAGAGAAGGAAAACAACAAAGAGCCATGTGACGGGGAGCGGCGGCCGCGCTCCCCCCGGCGCACCCGCTCCGGGCGGGGAGGTGGCGGCGCCGCCCGGCCCCTCCCGCGGCCAGCGCTGCTGGTTCCCCCCGTCCCCCACACTGCCCGGGGTTTAATTTTTTTGTGCATTTTATTTTTTTCCCCTTATGTGTGTGGGGAAGGGGGTGTTGTTGTTTGTTCCTCTTTTTCCCCCCTCTGCATTAGGCGACTTCCATGGCTTGCTGTTTATAAAGAGAGCAGGAGGCTGCAGAGGGGGAAGGGCGGTGTTATTTATAGCAGCCGGGGCTGCGCCGGCATTATCCGAGCTGCCTTTGTCCTCCCGGCCGGCCGCCCCCCCGCCCGGCCCGGCTGGAGCGCCGCCAGCCCCGCTGCCGCAGGGCGCTCCCGCCATGTTGTGAGCGGGGAGAAAGACCCGCCGCTCCCTGCCCAGCTTCGCCCTTCCACAGCCCCTCACAAAGCGCTGGGGGAAGGGGGGGCGGGAAAGGGGAAAGAAAAAAAAACACCAAAAAAACCAACACCCCAAACCCATCATTTCCCTGCAGCGCCCGGGACGCGGAGCGCCGGGAGGCAGCGGGGGGAGAGCCCGCCGCGCCACCGCCCAGCGCTGAGGAGAACGCGGCGCCGAAGGGAAGGAGAAGCCATGATGGCGGCTGCCCTCACACAACACGGAGCACGACCGGGAGCGCCGTGCCCGCCGCCGGCCGCCCCTCCCGCCGCCCGGGACACGGTGCTGCCGCAGCCTTTCACATAATAAACCCACCAGAATTCAGCGGGGAGGCCATTTTCGTGGGCTGGGTGGCGGCACTAAAGCACAACTGCTGTGAATATCAACTGCGTCACGGCTCTCCATCTGTAACACTCAGGCTGCAAAGGGTCCCTCACTTGGAAGGAAACTCCCTCATTTTGGATATACTTCCAGACCTCCTTTTTCCCCCCTCTCTCCAAGTCACTGCCTCTCGGTATGAAGGATTTTACAGTGCTTTCTAGGGAGACATCCGCCATTAAGACTCACCGTCGTGAAAAACACCCCCCATTTTGTTGCCTGTTTTTTGTCGAGCTTCTGTAATTAGACGGATAAAACATGTAAGGGATCCCTACCACCACCACCGCCTTCTCGCCTTTTTTAACATCAACCTCACTAACATCTTACTGTTCACAGGCAGATTTTTTTTTTTTTTGTGCTTTCAATTTAACAGCCACGTAATGCCTGCAATGGATTCACAGCGTCTCTCCGCACCAAAAAAAACCAAACCCACCCAGGGCTGAGGACGACCAAGAGCTTTGTGCAGAGAAAGAAATCAAATCCCTCCCTGAAAACAGACGTTTCAGAGGCACTGTTAGATGTTTCTGAGGAGAAGGAGATCGCCACCGCTTTCAGACGACCATTGGGATCTTTCCACCCAGGACAATACCATTAGCTACAGGCCTGGGCTATTTGTTCCTCTGCAAGGGCAAAAGGGTTTACTTACCCGCACACCATAGTTGAATGCAGCTCTGAAGGTGAAGTTGTTACTCTTTTTTAAAATAATGGCTATAAGTATATATGTGATCTGTATCACCACTTCTCTCGTAAGTTTGCGAGCCAAAGCGGATCTTGTTAAGATAAGTTACGGATCTTTGTGTGGCAGTGGTCTAGCATCAAAAAAAGAGGAAAAAAAGGGGGAAAAAGCTATAGAAAAAGTCCAGCTATGTTGACTGACCGTACACAGGCGAGGACTCCTGCTCGAGGCTTAAATCTACCTTCCTGTGGCAGATTTACTCTGTACATAAAAAGGACGTTCAGTGTTTTTCCACAGAGCACGCAGACACTAAAAATATTCTCCTCAATAGTTTTAGGCTGCACATGTCAGTGTGAAAACACCTAGTTAACATTTACTGGTGCTAAACAACTTTTAAGCATATCTTAGCCAGATAGTTCGCTTTTTAAGTAAAATATTTCAGAAAGCATAAATTGGTTTAAACAGACAAAAACATAAGACATGCAAATGAAGGCGTAGCAATAAGGACCACTTCAGTAACATTAACATGAAAACTACACTTAGCAAGGACAGAATGGATTGGGTACTTACAATGTAAGAGGAAAGAAAAAGAAAGAGCTTAACATAGTAAAATTGCCTTATTTTTTGCCAGAATTCACTATTCCTATACCTATATTTAAAACATTACCTTTTAAGCACCAAAGGAGTTAATAAAAATGGCCAGGAATCAAGTGTTTAATACAAGAGAGAAGTCTCTCAAATTTATTGTTCAGTCATCAAAGCTGCTTAAAGCTTAAAAACCCCCAAAACAACGAAAAAAATATAAAAAGAATGTATTTACTCTTTTTTTGTTGGCATTCAAAATTGTTAACTGCTGACATAGGGTGTGCCATGACCTAGTTACACAAGACAAAGATGGATCCCGAATCATAAGGGTGAAAAAAAAAAAATCCGCATTACTTTTTTTTTTTGTTAAGGGTTTGAGATATATATATATATATATTTAAATCCTCCTTCTTCAGTGAGTCGTCTGGCACCGTGCTAGAGGCTCCCACCACCCCGCGTGGTGTGGATTCACATGGCGGATCCCCCTTTATGGAACAAAGGAAAAGCCCAGTTGGCCATTTCGCTCCACTGCAGAAAAATGGCTGCGGGTCCCGCGGCCTCTCCTTGGCTTCTGCCGCGCGGCGCTTTTACCCCGCCGTCTAATAACTCAAGCCCCATGGAAGCCGCGCTCCCATTGGCTGCGCCCGCCGCGCTGCCGCCGCCCCAGCCAATGGCGCGGCCGCTCCCGGGGCCGCCGCGGCCCCGCGCCCCGGGACGGCCGCGCCATGCGCCCGCCGCGCTCCGCCCGGCCCCGCGCCCGCCGAGCGCCGGGGGCACCGCGCCGCCCGCCTTTAATACCGAAAACAAAATGGAACCTCCCCGCTGATTGGCTGACGAGCGCTCCGGACCTTTAATAAGCAAAGCTGCTCCCCCATCTTCTATCACCCTCTCCTCTGCGTGTGTTGCCGCCCCCCCTGCCAGCTTTTCCCCCCCGCGCTCTCCGCCGCAGCAGCGCGGCGGGTCCGTGCTCCACCCGCCCCCGCGGTCGCCCCGGCTCGCCGAAGTCTTTACCTAAAAAAAAAAAAAAAAAAAAAAGAAAGATAAAAAAAGCGAAAAAAACCACCCCGACTTGTCCCACCTATAGGTCCATCTTGTTTAGAAACAGTTTGCTCTAAGGTAAATGCAGCGGGCAGATTCCACTCGCCCCCCCGCATGCCGTTAACCCCGCGGCGGGGAGGGAAAAAAAACCCGCGCGTCCCGGCGGCGGCCCATGCGGCGGCGCTCGGCGGCGGCGGGGCGGCGGCGGGCGGCCGCGGGCCGGGGGCTGCGCGGCGCGGCCGCCGTGAATGTGCAGGCGGCGGAGCGCGGTTAGGCGTTCGCGGCGCTCGCAGCGGTGTATTGTGGGATCCCGGCCGCCGCCAGCAGCGAGCACACACACAATATGTGGTGGCTCGCGAAAACGGGAGGCAGGAGCCTGGCGGGCAGCCCGCGCCGGTAACCGGCCCCATGTGAGACGGGAGCTCGCCTTTCGCCGCCCGGAGACGATCGGCCGCCCAGCGCGATGTCTTTCCGAGAGACCAAGGCGGGGGAAAAAGCCAAGCACCCTGAAGATCATGGCAAAAAGCAGAGTTCAAGTGAGATTGGGTCTTTTTTTTTCTTCGTCTTCTTCTTCTTTTTTTTTTCCTCCTCCTCTCCTCCTCCTCCTCCCTCTCTGCCTCTTGTCTGGTTGGGGTGGAGGGGGGGACCCGGTTGGCAATTCCCCCATTTTGGGGCTCGCTTCGCGGTGGATTTCCTCCCTGCCTGGGTGTGTAGATCGGGCGGCTCGTTAAAAAAAAAAAAAAAAGAAAAACCCGCACCGAAACGAAGATGTCTTTGTTGAATAATTTTTTTAACTTTATGGTTTTTAGTGTGGTTTTTCTTTCTTTTCCCCTTCCCCCTTTCTCTCTCTCCCCCCCCCCCCCCCCACCCCCCCCGCGTTCAGGTTGGATCAACGGAATGGAGAACAGCACGCAAGCCAGCACTTCTGTCGAGAAAAGAAATCACCATTGGAGAAGTTACAAGTTGATTATTGACCCGGCTCTGAAAAAAGGACAGCACAAACTCTACCGTTACGATGGGCAACATTTCAGCATGCCTGTGAGTGGGGGGCTCCCGGGTTTCCCCCATTGTGTCGTGTCTCCCCTGCCAGCCTCTGTCTTACCGGCGTTTTGGGGGCTGGGGGTCCCTCCGGGTCGTGGTAATCCTCGGTGTAGCGCTTGTGTGTGTGTGAGGGGGGTCCTGGGGGGGACACGCACAGCCACCAAAGTTACAGCCACCTGACACTGTGTGTTCAACTGTCAGGAGCCCAAACCTGCGGCTTTTTTCCTGTGTTTCCAATCTGTGTGCATTTCCCAGCAGTATTGCAATTTGACACGTGTGTGTATGTGTGTGTGTGCGCTTTCCCCTTCCCTTGAGACAGCCCGTGCTTTCTCGGGGTTTATTTTTTCTTTTATTTTTGTCTTCAATTTCAAGTCTTGTTATTGCTGTTTCTATGTTTTCTCTCCTCCTCTTCCTCCTCCTCCTTCTCCCAGAACTCGGGGATCGCTCCTGTGGATTGTGTCAGGGATCCCAGAATAGGGCGAATATGGACCAAAACTAAGGAGTTGGAGCTGTCTGTCCCCAAATTCAAGGTACTGCCCTGACTTTTGGTGTTACCTCTGGAAACTTGTTTATCTGGGAGTGAAGCCTGAGTTCCAAATAGTTTAATGGACCGTTTAAATGACAGTCATATTTATATTAACATTGTTATTTAGCAAACTGTTTAACAATAATCCTCTTCTATGAGGATAACAAGAAATCAATGCCTCTGTCTGATGAGATCACTTGAAGGTTTTGGAGCTGGGGCTCCTGGGCCGGGGGGCAGTGAGGGGGGCTCTCTGCTGACAGCACTGCTCAAAATGCATCTTTGTAGCCCAGAAAGGAGCCGGTTCCAATGAATGGCTGCAGCGGCACAGCCTCTGCTCAGCTCTGAGGTTCACCCAGAGCCTTGGAGGGTTTTTTTCCCCCCCAAAGTTTGCAGGATGCTTTAACCCCCTCCCTCCCGTGCCATCTCCTTAGGCTCCTCCCCCAAGCTCATTAGCAATGCCGATTATTTTTATCGTTCCCCACCTTGTGCCCGTTTCCAGATTGATGAATTTTATGTGGGGCCAGTGCCTCCCAAGCAGGTCACCTTTGCCAAGCTGAACGACAACATCCGTGAAAACTTTTTGGCCGACATGTGCAAGAAATACGGCGAAGTGGAAGAGGTGGAGATTCTCTACAACCCCAAGAACAAGAAGCACCTGGGCATTGCCAAAGTCATCTTTGCCACTGTCAAGGGTGCCCGGGAGGCTGTGCAGCACCTTCACAACACTTCTGTCATGGGCAACATCATCCACGTGGAGCTGGATACAAAAGGTGAGGGGGCACGTTTGGGCCTCGTGTTTGGGGTTTGCAGAGCCCCTGTCTGTCCCACTGCCAGCACCGAGGCTGTTGCAGAGGGCAGGGAGCTGGTGATTAAAAATACGAAGGGAGCCGGCAGCGGGTCTGGTGTCTGGGGCCTGGGCGAGTCACGTGGAGCCAAATGTGTTGTCTGTTGCTAAGAGACAGCCCTGTAATTTGCAAAATGCTGCCATCCTGCCTGTCCCCTGCCCGTCCCTGCCCCTGCTCTCCGCCCTCTCGTGTCCCCCATCTCCCTGCCCCAGGCTGGTCCCTCTCAGCCACCTGCCAGGGCTGCTGGACTTGGTGGCACCTGCGTTTTGCAAACTTGGCGTTTTTGGGCAAGTCCTGGTGGTTCCTGGGACCCAGATCTGTGGGCTCTGGTGGCAGCAGCGGGGCTGGGTGCTGTGCCCTGCGTGCCTGGCATTTCATTGATACTTTGAGCGGGCTGGGGGCTGGCACAGCAGAGTGCACACGCAGCACTGCCGGGGTGTGCGAGTGTATACAAGTGTGAGACTGGCTCTTAAAGCGACAGCAGCTCCCTGTGCTGGAGGAGCCAGCTGCCAGCCCCACTCCCGAGCCCTCAAAGCCCCATAAAGTGCCTGCAAGTGTAAAGGCATTGCATTTGATCTGTTCTCTCTCCTCCAAGCATGCTAGTGAAAGGGCTTTCTAAAATCTGCCTGAATTTTAGAAAATGTCTAAGACTGAGGAGGTGTGGATCACTTGCTGATTGTATTTCTGCATTGTAAAGATGGCATTTCTAGTTTAAAACTGGCTTGCTGCACTCTTTCTTGGGAAAAAAGACATTGCTAACACCATTTTCTTAAAATGCTGATATTTTTGTTCTATATTTAAAGGTTTCAACAGTTCAGTGCGCAGCCAACACAGCAGTTGGTGTGCCACATGTGAGAGAGTAGAACAGGATGTTTATTGACATTACTGACCACTGTTAGAAGAAAAATCACAGTAGCAGTTTAATATTTTCTATTGGGAGCTAGGCTTGACCTTACATGTGTATACTTTGAAATTCTAGTATCAATAATTTTTACAGGCAGGCTCCTTCACTTGCTTTGAAATTTGAAGGTAAAAATCACATTTAAGGACAAATTAACTATTTGCAGATTTAATAACATAAGCTAAAGCTGCTTTGTAAGGGATGGATGTCTTAATGCCAATCATTTTAAACAAGCTGATTGTACTGCCTTCCTCCTTGTTCTCCTCCGTTTATAAACTGTGCAGCAAGCCTTGAGCAGGCAGCTGTTCCAGAAAGTTTGTAGCACATCAGGGAAATGAGGGGGGGTTTCTGCTTCTGTTTCCTGGGAGAAAATGCTGAAGTCAGTTTCAAATTGCATTGCTGTTTTGTTTGCCAGCTTTATGCTCCTAATGTATTTTTTTCACACAGTTGCTTCTCTTTCGTTCTAAAGGAGTAGGACTGTCAATGTGCTATAATCTGTCAGAATCAAGTAAAAACGGTGTTCCTAAAAATAGCATCAGCAGGTTAGGACATACTTAAAATATATATGTATCATTTTCACCGTTTCCTTCTAGTGTTCTGCTTTGTAAGACGGTAAAAGGTTGGTTACAAACTTTGTTTTCACAGTGTAGCAAAATAAATATTAGGAGGGAAAGTATCAATTTTATCTGTCTGGTGTGAGCACAGGCCTGGGAATCTGAAACTAATAAATCCAGGCTCCTCATCTGAGACAGGATTGTTTAAAGACACTTTTCTGCTCAGTTTATCCATCTACAGACTGGACACAACTAGTAATTACCTGTCTTAGAGCAATAGCTAGGAATCATTTCACACTCATAAACCTCTTTGAAATTGTAACTTTTCCTGCCTTATGTTTGGGATCCAGGAAGAACTATGTAACAATGACTTGATATTTTTTTAAGGACAAGTGAAAATAAGCCTAACACTTCCATATCTGTGGCATTGTAGTGTCATGTGTGGGTGCTGTGTGTTAATATTTCAAGCTTATCTTCAGACTCTTGCAGTGAGAGATCTATTTTGTCATGACTTTGGTTGAACTTAAACAGTTTACGTAGCTGAGGCTCAGGACTTTGTGAAATGAGATTTGATGCCCAAATAACTTTATCTGTGGCTTTTCTGCAAGATAAATAAGTCTTTTTCAGGACAGAATTGTGCTAAGAGTTGCTTTGTTTTTGAATTGAACAAGGTGATTCACAGGGAATTTGGGTTTTGATCCTACAGGACTTTCTCATAAAAGTAGTCCTGGTTTTGGGAGGTATTTCCTGAATTAATTTTCTGGGCTCAGGTGCCCAGTCTGTCCATTTTTCTGTGTATTCTTTATCTCTCAGAGCAAAATTCAGACAGTTGCAGGGTCTGGCTCTGTTGCCTTTGAAGCTGATGACAGATTTCTTACAGACTGCAAAATAAGTAGGATTAAGTTTTTGTAGTAATGAAAAATTCAATATTAAGAAACTGGGTCTTTGTAGACTTTAGGAATGAAAAGGCTGAGGCTCAATTATGCTATATGGGACAGTTTGCTCCTCTGGCTTTATTCTTAGAAGGATGCCTCTGAGTTCTCCTTAAACCAGGGGAAAAAAAGGATTAATTGGTGTCTGTTTGGAAAGAAAACATTAACAGTTTTGTCCTCAGCATTGCCATGCATTGTGTTTGCATTAGTGACAGGCAGCTCTCATGAGCAAGGTGTGTAGGGAGAGGAGAGTTTTCTGAAGTGGTTCTGGGTGTTGGCAGAGGCTTCTCCCTTGGGTGAGAGTTTCACTTCTCAAATCTGCAAGCTTTGCTTGGCACTTTGGAGAGGAGGGAAGCGGCTGCGCTCCAGAGAGCATGGTAAAGAGCAGAACTGCCAAGGAGGCTGAGAAGAGGAAAAAGGATTTAGAAACCTCCTTGTCTTGGCTGGAGAAGGGAGTGTCTGACTTCACTTGCCCAGCAGATTATTTTAAAATGATCCCTGTGAGCTCTGAGGTGATAACTGCTCCTCTCTTGCATGGATGGAGTGGGCTGGGAGTGGGGGCAGGGTCATGTGAGTGTCAGGAATGTGTATTTTTACATGAATTGTGATCTTTCTGTTTAATCAACTCTTGCATTGTGCTCTGTGCAGGTGAAACCCGCATGAGATTCTATGAACTGCTGGTTAATGGTCTTTACACTCCTCAGACCCTCCCTGTAGGCACTGAACAGGACGTGTCCCCAACTGGGAATGAAGCTCTGCAGGTAGGTGTGCTTGGCTTTTCTTAAAGAAAAACTTCCTAGAAAATCTCAAACATTAACATTAGCATTTTAACATTTTTAATTTATCTGTATTTGTCTTGCTGTAGTTCCAATGGACGTTACTAATTCTCATTTAAATAGAACTTGCTCATAATTGCCATAGCAAATGTACCTCTGGATGTGGAGCACGTGGCTGGTGTGTGCCTGCTTTGCACAGAAAATGCTTTTTGTCTTCGTGCCCTATTAGCATTAGAAATTCCTGCAGTTAGGAGTGGATCAGATCTGTCCCTGAGATGAGCTTTTCCCTTGAAGTCAGGGGAATGATTTACAGTGGTACATTTGGCCTGGCGTCTGCGGTGTGCAATCCTCAGCACGCACGGACTTCAGCCTTGCTTAAAGGCTGAGGGGTGCAAGGTGGCTCAGCTTCAATAGTGGCATCAGTTTGCCAGAATCTTAATTAGTTGCTGGAATCAGCTTTTAATAAAAGCAGTGGACAGAATTCCTGCGGGCTTCCAGGGGTCCCTCGATATTTAGGGCACAATTCTCTCAGTGGCTTTGCATGATTACCTGCTTCCCTGTAACCCCACTGGGATGAGAGGGCCAGGGGGAAGGGAAGCCTGTTTGTGTGAAGTTACCAGCCTCTTTGGCTTGTCTGAATGTACTTTGGCTCCTCATTGGGACTTAAGAACTGATTTTAAGACATCAAATTTGAAAGAGATTTGGAAAAGACTTTTTTTTCCTTTTCTCTACTCATACAACTTCTTAAAATGCCATGATTTCATTAATTCTGTGATCAAGTGTTCTCAGGACAGGTAATAGCTGTACATTGAACATGAAAATCCTGTTGATCCGAAAAAAAGAAATGTCTCCTCCCACCAAAGCACCCCAATAGCAGCAAGGCAAAACCCCAGTGTCCTTTTAACAAAATCATAAAAGAGGTTGGTTCTTCCTTACCTCCCAGCAAGGTGCTTTTAAAGGCAGGAGGGAGACAGGTAATGATTTTGCTGGGAGCCCTGCTATGAGTAGACCCTGACTGCTCATTCTTGCTACTTCCACATCTCAAATTAAAATGGGCAGATTTGTTCTTACTCTTTTTTTCAGGGTTAACAGCAAAACACTTAATTGATGGTATCACCCAAAGCAGTCCCTGCTGTAATTATCCTTAAGATTCTTTCTCTAGATATTATGTTCATGTGTTATATTATTTTCCTGAATTGATTTTTTCCCCAATTACCACCATAATTATTGCTTTGTGAATAACTTTTAACTGTTTGCATCATGGTTTTGACACTAGGATGTGCCAACAAACTTGTTTGCTGCTGTAGTTCAGTAAATTACTCCTGACATTTGCTCCTCCTCTCATGCAGAGCAGCAAAGATCTGACAGTTCTGCAGTCCCTGCCTCTAGGCCATACACAAACCCCACTGAAAAACACTCCACAGCACATCTACACCAAAGGTGCAGCAGTGTGGATGTTTTTAAGAACCAGTCATGTGCTTCCTGCTCCTTTCTGTGGCTTTTAGGACAGTTGAGGAAGAAACTTTGTTGATGTCTCTGGTCATGGTGTCCAGGGGGTCAAACTGAGAGCAAGTCCACACTACTGAGTGGGTGAGATGTGTGAACACAGCAGGCAGGTGAGAGTTCAGCTTGAGTTTGATGGTGCTGGCATGTTCCAGGCAGGTCAATTTACACATCTCTGCCTACCTGTGCTTCAGAGGTCTCACCAGTTGACTATCCTGGTGTACTTTTAGGCAGCTGGAGCTCAGTCCATCCTCTCTTGCTACCAGGAAGATTCTTACTGAGCTCCTGCTTTGCATTATGGAAAATTGATTCTGGAGCTGAAGATAAGTGTGGCACTGTTATGACTCAGCAGAGTCTGAGCTGGAGCAGGGCTGCTCCTAGAAACCCCCTGAACGTGCCTGTGAAGTGAGTTACAGAGCAAGGACTTGGCTGCTCTGTAGGTTTGTAGGGTTTCAGTTTCAAACACCATAATCAGTAGCGCTCTGAGCATTTTACTTTGTGAGAAGCTTTAAAATGGTGTTTTTCTGGCAGTTGAGAACTTTTTGTATGTTACAGATGAGTGGTTGGGAGGATGGTGGGCCAGCTCTGCTGCACAGCTTTGACTGCAGGCTGGCAGTTCACTCATTTGTATGTTTTGATTTGTTCACCAAAAAAATCAAAAATTGACAATTTCACGTCTCAGACTTTCCTTATTTTCATCCCTGTTTGCAGCTTACACAAGCATTACATAGTTGCTAGAAGCTGGAACTCTTCCAGCTGAAAGTGGTGTGGAAGTCTCCTGTTCACCTGATGCTCTTGGGGGTAGCTTACAAGGAAAACTTGTATCTTCTTTCTCCTTCCTCCCCTTGCAGACAAGTTACTGTTGCCTGACTTTTTCTTTTAAATCAAAGAGGACTGTTAGCAATGGATAATAACCATTAGGTTTGTGTTTTCAGGGACGCTGTAACCTATTTATTTTTTTGCCTCTGAAATCAGCACAAACTCCTGGGTGCTCAACTCCTCTGAAAACCAAACAGATTGGACAGATATGGTTATAGAAGTGTGTGTTGAGGTGCTTTTCTGTGATGTTGTTGCAGCTGACGGACTCCCTGAAGCGCCTGAAGGACAGCTCCCTCTCCTCCGCGGGATCCTCCGTCACCCCGAACAGCAGCACCCCCTTTTCCCATGACACTGCCTATTCCAGCTGCCGGCAGGACACCCCAAACTCCTACAGCCAATTCACCCCCCAGTCCCAAGGAACGCCCCACACCCCGCGCCTGGGGACGCCCTTCTCCCAGGACTCCACCTACTCCAGCCGACAGACGACCCCTGTGTACCACTTTGGGCAGGACAGCGGCTACAAACCCCGGAGGCACGAGACCAAGTTCACGGACGCGTACAACCGGCGCCCCGGGCACCACTACATGCACAACTCGGCAGGGGTGTTCCGAGGCACAGAGCACCAGTTCAGTACCTTCAAATCCCATCAGCAGGAGCCTGTTCAGTTCTCTCACACTCCTCCCCTGAGCCACTCTAGTTCTTCGAGCTATAAATCTGCCTTCTCCCCTTATCAAGCACCAGCTGTTTTTCCCCAGTCCGAGGAGCAGCAGCCGTTTCCCCAGACTTCCAGGGAGACAGAGTACAGGAGACCTGCACCGCCTCCCACAGAGATGGTGGTGGAAAGCAGCGCTGCCCCCAGCATCGATTTTGTCCCAGTGAAGGAGAAACCGGAGGAGCCTCCGCCCTTGCCCGACTCGAACTCTGTTCCTGAACCAAGCACAGCGTCCTTCTCTCAGACTCCAGAGAGGAGTGAGACTCCTGGCACCCCCACCATGGAGACTGAGATGCAGCATAACAGTTTAGACTCAAGGATTGAGATGCTCTTAAAAGAGCAGAGAACAAAATTACCCTTTCTTAACGAGCATGACTCAGATAATGAGATCAGAATGGAAGGTAGCCCTATTTCCTCCTCTTCTTCCCAGCTCTCCCCCATCCCAACGTACGGTTCGAACTCTCAGCCCGGTTTCAGGGGTCAGACGCCTTCCTCACGGCCTTCCAGCACAGGCCTGGAGGACATCAGCCCCACACCCTTACCTGACTCTGATGATGATGAGCCCATCCCTGGCACAGCTTCTCTGAGTCAGAATTCCCGGGGGACATCGGAGGCCAGCATGACTCCCATTGATCAGCTGAGCAGGACGTCCAAAACTGAGACCTTGGAGGCTAAAGAAATGGTGCCTGGTGACCAGACTCCAACGTCAGAAAAAATGGATGAGGTAAGTGAGCTGGAACTGAGTTGTGAAGCTTTGCATGTGTCCCCAGAGCTGGACAGGGTGGGGAATTGCACTTGTCTTTGTGTCGTCAGAGCGTGGGGTTTCTGGTGGCTTTTCCTTTTACTCGAGCCAGCTGGAAATGAGTTAGATGTGACACAAAGTAATGGTCTTGATCAATTTGCAGTCTCCAGCTTTCCTTATTTATAATACCAGCCTGCTGCAATTTATAGCTTCAGGAGAGCTCAAGGACTGCACAAGCCACCAAAGTTTGGCCAGTGCTCAGGCTGTGTGAACATCCTGAGTGTTGACAGACACTTAAGCCACTAGAGGAGTTAATGGAGCACTTTCTGCCATTGCTGTGGTCGCTGAGCAGGGGTGTGTATGCAGGCACACACTTGCTTAGCAGGGCTTTCATGTTGCACTGAAGTATTGAGTGTATAGGGTGTTTGAAAGCTCTCCAGCTATTCCTGCCATCTGCTTCCAACGGGAGACAGTTGCTGGGTTTTAATACTCACTTTGCTCAGGAGAGAGGGAGTATATGAAAGGGGGAGGCAGTTGACTTGTGGGGGATGTGCTCCACTGAGTTTTCCAATAATAGAGCAGAGCTTGTTGCCTCTGCCGGGGCATTTGTGGCAGAAGGGGGAGACAGCTGAACTGGTGCCAGCAGACAGGAATTATGTTGCATGGTGTGTCTGTTTGGGAGGTCTGTTGCAACAAATGTGAGTATCACTGCAGTGGATGTGTTGGTCCTATTGTGCTGTGTCAAGGAACAGTCAAAATACAGATCTTTGCAAATGCCAGACCTTTCTCCTCAATGTTTATAATGGTCATGCAGGCAGATGAAAGTGCTGTCCCTGGTGTGCAAGAATGCTGCAGTCAAGAGGGCTGGTCTTGTGTAAATGTCCCGAGTATGGTAGATAAATTTAATTTACCCATGAAAGTTTATTGGGGTTAAGCTGGCAGAATGGGTTTCCCTCCAGTGGTTTGCAGTTGTGAGGTTTTCACCAGAGAAGCGGCTGCATTCGGGAGAGGAGGAGCTGCTCCAGCAGCCGTGGGCTTTGCAGGATGCTTCCCTGGAGCGAAAGCTCTGCAGCAGTAACACAGTGTCGGTCTGGGTGCTAAATACTGAAAACAGTGTGACTGTGCTCTGGATATTTTGTTTTTTCTGCATGCCGTTCCAAACCTGCTTGTCCTTGCAGTTGCCAGTTTAGCCTTTGAAACAGTTCAGCTGCTTGAGTTCTCATTCATCATCCAGGCTGGCCCAGGCTCCCCTCCTGGGAGGCGAGTCCCTGGCTGGTGGGGCTGATGATGTGTTAATTAGGAATGGAGTTTTGATTCCTTAAGCTCCGGTCTGGCAGGCTTAAGAGGGGCCACTGTTAGTTTGACTGCAAACCAGTGAGGAAGACATCCCTCATCTCCTTGCCTTTCTGGCTTTGTATCTGCTGTCCCTGCACTCGTGCAAGGGGGTTGCAGCCAATTCTGAGTGTGTTTAGGAAGATGGGTAGGTGCCAGCATGGTGTGTGGGGTCAGGCACTTCTGTAGCTGGCCCTGGGTTTGGGGGACTGGCTGGGATGGGGTGTTGTAGGTTGTGATATGGGGCAGCAGCGCGCTGATGTTGAAGCCCCGGTTAAATCTCGTTTCCCCTTAGTGAGATGCTGGTGTCAGAAGTTCACGTTGATGGGTCTGTGTTACAAAATTATGTAAGTGCCTCAATCCTCTGCAGAAGTCAGAAGGGTGGTAGCAGGGTCTCCATGCAGGTCATTGCTGCTTTATTTGTCTCCTTCCCCCCAAAAAAGTTGATGTTTGTTGTTGGAGCTGTTTATTCAGACTTCCTCTTGGTTACAAATCACACTGAGCTATTCTGACGTGTTTGAAAAGTTGCCTGAGCCTTTCATTGCTCCTTGTGATGCAGAAAAAACGATCTCCATGTGTTTTTGCTTCCTTTCCCCACCCTTCTCCCCACACAGTTTTTTGCTTTAGAAAAAGGCTCTTCTGGCTTCCCTCTCTTTTGCTGAAGGAGCAGAGCTGAACAGTGACTTAACATAGGCTGAAATTTGAGCTGCAGCTTTCCAACTGAGTTAGAGAGGGGCATTGAGTCTGTGTAAGGGCTGGAAAGCTGAACCTCCAGCTTCAGCCTATTGTGATACCACTGTTCTACCCCAGTCCTTCACAGAGTCCTCCAGTGAAACAGAGGGAAGGCAGACATAAATATTTCTTGTGACTGTGTGGCTTAGGGAGCAGAGCAGGGGTGATATCTTGGTGCAGGGAAGGCTCATTAACTATCATAAGGAAGCAATAAAAGGCAGAGAGTTTGAACTTATTTACTTAATATTTGCCCCTTCAAGGGTCAGAGCAGCCCCAGGCCAGCTCTCTTTGGGTGGGTGCTCTGGCTGGGAGAATCACAGGATTCATGAGGATGCCAGCAAAGTCACAAGGAAGTTTTTCCTGAGGTGATCAGTGCTTTTGAAGGACCTCCTCCTGTTTCCCATCAAAACAAGCACGATTTTTTGTCAATGATTGCTGATACAATAACATCTGCTCTGTAGGTGAAGTGCTGTCAAATCATCAGGCAGACTCAGACTCACTATAAGTAAAGGAGGTACAGCCAAGGCCAGCAGACTCACCATAAGTAAAGGAGGTACAGCCAAGGCCAGCAAATGCTCTGATTTATCATGCAAGACCCTGGAGTTTGATTTCAAGATCCAGTGTGATACTCCTAAGCCAGAGTTTGGCAGGGATTTTGGGTGTGGGAGAGGAAGGGCTCTGCATCTGTCTGCAACACCTAACCCAGCTAATCTCAGAGCAGTGATTAAAGTCTGCAGAGAAAGTCCAGCTAAGCTTAACCAAGGGGCCAGACTGAGGTGGAACAGTGGGATTTGGGCAGTATGAGGTAAGGGAAGGAGAAGGATCCTTTCCAAAAAGAACAACCTGCCAGGCAGGAAGGCAGGACAGAGTGGGCTTTTTCAGAAAACTAGAAGATGGCAAAGAAAAAAAGCTGAGCTGCATTGTTACATGAGGGAAATTTTTGAAGGAGCAATGTACAAACTTTCCTTCCTATGTGCTTGAGAAGGTAAAGAGGAAAGAATTGTAATAATTTCTTTTCACAGGGTTTTGCTGTTTCGGAAGTGCAAAGGTTAAGTACGTACAGTTTGACGTTTTGACATCCCATCTGAGCCAGGTCTTGTTTTGGCTTGGCTTGTGGCAGGAAGAGGCCCTGCCTTTGTGCTGGGGAGGGTGACAGGATTGCAGCCAGTCACTTTGTTGTGTATTGATGATGCCTTTCATGTTTCAGCTTATGAATGTATCAGTTTGTGTGCACAGCCAGAGTGTAATAGGAAGACTGTGTGGCTGACAGTGGTATTTTTCCAGATTTATAAGTACAAAAGCACTTTTTAATTGAGGGATCAGCAGAATCCTGTCCTCCTTGTAGTTTGGCTAAGCACTGAGTTACTGAGGTGGGAGGGACGCCTTAAAAATGCCAGAGATCATCATAAAAATAAAGATTCTGAAGCGTGAATGAGGTGAGAGCAGTTCTCCTGCTGTTTGCTGGGAATTTTAGCAAATGGGTTGGGGTATGGACTGGAAGTTACACAGTGCTCAACAGCCCTAGAGACCCTGAAAGCCACTGCTGTCAGCAGCTGTTGGGAGTGTTTTGAGTGCTGTGCTGGGTGCTGAGGTGCCTCTTGCAGGACAGCACCAGCATCCCTGGGACAAGCTGTGTGCATGCAGTGGGTCCTCTCACAGCTGCCCAGGGAGGATTTCCCAGCTGTGCTCACACACAGACAAGGTGAGTCAGGCTCAGCCCTGCAAGAGGCTCTGCTGAAGTCCCCGAGGTTACATCTGGGCTGAATTTGCCCTTTGTATTGAAGCATCTTTGGGTTCTTGTGTGGTCACAGCCAGAACTGGAAGAAATTTTTGTTGAAGTGTCATATTGTCCCTCTGGAGCCTTTGCAGGATGTGATGACATTCCCCTCAAGACACTGCCTCGTGTCTTGTGTGGCTCCATCCCCATCCACACTGGGCATTGTTTCAGTGCTGGTAAATGATTGCCCATTCCTGCAGAGCCAAATTCAGCCTTTAGTTGTTCACACTGTGGTGAGACAAAGCAGAGCCCAGGTGTTGGCCGGGCAGGGAGAGGAGCTGCTGAGGGTTTTGGTGCTAGCAGCACCTGCAGTGGTTGCCCCAGGGGCAGCTGATGCCCCTTGGAGCTGAGCTGGGCAGGAGCAAGTCCATCTGTGCCTGCAGGAGGATGTTCTGTCCCTGTCCCCTGCTCCCACCCATGGATTGTGTGGGCTGGAGGCAGCCCCTGGGATGAATTACATGGAGCGTCCTAAAGGTGAACTCAATCTCGCTCTGCTGAGGGATGCTTCTGGGCTGAAGAGCTCAGAAGTGATTTATTCAAGGTAAATGCACATTAAGGTTGAGAAGGTAGATCCTTAAGAGCCGGGAAATTTGATGCCTTCGTTTCCACAGTAACTGTGCAAGAGCCCTTGTGCCCATTGGTGGCTGTTAGTATATATAATATATATGGGTACACCTGGGATCCAGTTTACAGCTGGAGTGGGATTTATCATTTCTGGAGGGAGATGGGGAGAGTGGATGGGGGAAATGGTTGCTCTGAATGTAGCCTTTTAATTGAAGAAGGGAGAAAAACCTGAGAGCTGTGATTTATACCCAGTCTCATAAACACTTTTTCAAATTTTCCTGCCTCCTGAGCTCTTGCAAATGCGATCATGCCTGACAGAACCGGTTCCTAATGGAAACTCAAAAAATAGGTATCATGTTATGACCATGAATTTCCAGAAATGCAGCCAGCCAATGCCCGGGCAGCAGAGATTTGGATGACTGCTGTGGTTTCACATGTGAATTACACCAGCCATGCTAAACCTGTGAAATTAAAATGAGAGTGAAGTGCTTAAGCTGTGGGTTCAGTTCTGCCCTCGCTGACCCACACACAGGAGCAGCGAGAAGCCACAGAGACTTCAGGGGATCTTGTGGAGTCT